CCTGACTGCTCGGACTGAGCCGCTGGCTCCGCTGCCCCCCTCCGCCTGCGTCCCGGGAGCCCTGCATGGGGGACAGGCGCGCCTGCCCCGCTCTGCTGCAGGGTTCCCGCTTGGTAGGATGCCTGCTGGCGGTGGGTGGGTATGAGGGGCAGAGGGCTGCCCCGGGGCAGGAAGGAGGGAATGGCACGGAATTCCATTGGCTAGAAGGGGTGGGAGAGGAAGGGAAGGCGTGGCACGAATTAGACTCCTCAGCATGTTGATTGGAGTTGAGAGCCATGGTGTCCACTAGCTGGAACCTGAAGAATGGGGGTAAATCCTAGTACCTATGGACTTCTTCAGTTTGGCCAGTTACTGATGTGTTATCTTGAACAGATTTACTGGCTGGACTAAGTTGGCTAGAATCCTAGAGTTAAATCTCACTGGAGACTTGTGGCTTATGGGAGACCTACAAAGTACTGGCAATTCATGTTTCCATAGCAAAAATCCCAATTCCTCCCTGCCCCTCTGAAAACAGTGGAAACAGCTGGACTCTTGTTAGATGTTGATGCTATGATTCAGCCTCTTTGCACTTAGGAAGGATTTGGAACGGAAAAGCTGCTTGGTTTTTTTGTGTGGAAGACCTTACATAAGTTAGTTTTTAGAGTATCTCAGTCATATCTACCACATTTTCTAGAACTGTAGCCTTGATTGCAACAAGTAACTTTTCATAGATTACTCTTTTGTATGGTACTGTGTATTTATAGTTGTAGTTTAAGAATACTCAATACTTCCCAGGTACTATTCATGTTCAAAGCATCTTGCTTCGAACTTGAAATTGGGTTAAGTGTATGGTTAAGGATATTTTTCAATCCATGTTGCTGCCTTCCTTTGAAATGCTTGCAAACTCAGGCCCCCCTGCATCTTACATTGATGTATACAGCCCAGAAGAAATGCTCCCTATTTTTTCCCTTTAGGATTTTAGTAAATAAAATGGCAGTAAACATTTGTAAATCTCATGAAAAGTGTGAGAGTATCTATCTAAAAATAGACCTTGGAGGACCAGAATAAGTAATTTAAAGGGATATGGCCAGTTTGTAATCTGTCAATTTGAAATCTAGAAAACTGTAAAAGGCATGTAAACGGTTTCCCTGCCAAATGTTGTTATAAGGTCATGGTTTCCTATATGTGACATCCAGTTTTTCTGCCTTTTGCACAAGGCTTACAAAGAGGAACTTGCCCATACAGGGGAAACAATTAAACTTAATTCTCAGATGCAATTTTTAATAGTGGTAGCAAAAATTCAAATAAATGCAATAGAAATGGTGACATTTAAATTTGGTGCTGGCAACAACAGGTTTTACATTGCTTTATTTGTACTGATTATCTAAAATCCTTATAACATAGTTTGGCTTGCAATGCATTTACTATGTATGATAAACACATAGTGCTATCTGTTTTCACGCTCCAGATACTTTACTGTTTTGCAAGAATCATAGGGCGGTACAGATTAAACGGTAAAACTGGGAAGTAAATTGAAGGAAGAGAATGAGGGATTTTTTTCCATGCAAGTTTGTGCATTAGTCTGTTTGGGAAGCAGGAGGATGTGTGTGTGTGTGTGTGTGTGCTCAGTAAGAAATACTAGTATGAGCTAGTCATTTGTAAAGCACTTCAACACAAAAACAGAGTACAACTTGCATGAATACTATGAAGTCGTGTCACAGTGTGGAGTGTTTTCGAACTAAGGTGATGTATTCACTTGAAACTGTTGATGTTCAACTTTGAAAATTTGGATCCTGAGTTTCTAAAATGAGAGCACGTGAGCAGAGATGTGAAATCTGTCACATGGCAAGGAAATGAATATACAGTGTAGTGATTAGACTCGGCAAAACTTATGTGGAGCACAGCTATGATGATTTAAAAGAGCTTGAATATACTGTATTGGACAGTGTGTGGGTTTTAAAAATAAAATGCAAGATGTATATCAGAACTAACGCAGAAAGATTCTTTGGAGTTAGATTTAGCTATCCATTTGAAATATTCAGTACTGTACAGAGCAGAATTCTTGAGCAACAGGGAATACCTGGCCTAAATGAAGCATTTGGACTAGTTAACTTAAGTGGAGTTTTATTTCTTAAGCTTATTAATAGAATTGAATGAAAATCAGACTTTCCATTAAACATTTGTTTTCATCCCCGTTTGAGACCAAACATCTTATCAATTTTCTCTGCATAGAACTAAAATGTTTTGTTTTTTGTTGAAGAAAATCAAACCCCTTTGGGTCAGTGATGTTACTTAACCAGTGTCCACCTGAGCTGCCATGGTATCTCAGGCCTTGTTTCCTTTTCATGGGCTGGACGACTCAGGTGGACTAAATCTATGAGACCCTGTGGCATTGGGATGGTATACCATAGTGCATCATGGAAGATGTAGTCTGTTGGGGAGCCAGGCCCATTGAAAATGAGTTAAGGCTGTGGTCTCCAACATTTTTACACCCAAGATCACTTTTTAAATGTCAGAACAACCCAAGATCTACTGCCCCATCCTTCCCCCAAGACCCCACTCCTTCCTTGAAGCCCTGCCCTCTCTGTTCTCCTCCTCCTCCTCCTCCTCCTCCATCACTTGCTATCCCCAGCCCTTATACACGCTACACTGCTTTTTTTCCCGATTCTTCTGTAGGAAGAGGTTTTTCTAACTTCTGGTCTATCTAGACAGGACCAAATGTCAGAAACACCCCTTTGGAAGCCCCCTTATTCCTCGTTCCATGAGGAATACAGGGGTTACCAAGAGAGCATGTTTGCTCTTCCATTTAAAAAAAGTGGAAGAACAAATGCATCCCTGGACACAGAAGAGGTTTTCCAGGATATCTCTGGAATCCTGGAAAAACTCTACAGTCTAGCTGTACCCTCACTGGCTTGAGACAGGATATGTGGGCTCTGGGGTGGGAATGAGGGATTTGGGTGTGGGAAGGGGTGAGTAGTGTAAGCTCTGGGAGGACATTTGGATGCAGGAGAAGGTGGAGAAGGGGACACTGGCTCCGGGAGGAGGCACCAGGCTGGAGAGTGTTGGGGTCAGATGGAGGGTTGGGATACTAAGTAAGCCACAGGTGTATGGATGTGAGGGTGCAGGAATTTGGGTTGGGGTATGTCAGGGGCTCAGGGCAGGGAGTTCCAGTATATGATAGGCTCAGATCTAGGGTGGGTGGGTGCAGGAGTGTTATGATGCTGCAGCCAGATGGGGGCTTGGCCCTTGTTAGCCATGCTTCATTTTTAAATAAAATACTATGTCAATCACAAAAAGTTTCTGCATTGTCTTTATTTATGAGAAGGGCAGGGTACCTGTTTTGAATCAGGGATCACTGACCCACAGAAAAGTCAGTTGGGATCACATGAGTGAGATGCAATAACTTCTCCAAAACCCCCCTAAGCCTCACTAATGAGGCACCAACTGTGCTGGTGGGAGCAGGGGACATGGTACTGGGGAAGGGTGCCAGTGGGGGGGGGTTGGGGACAGGGTGCCAGTGGGGGACAGGGGAGAGGAGACAGGGTGCTG